ATCGGGCACATCGTCTGGTTCCTCTTGATCTTCAGCAGCTTCGCCTGTTGCAGCATCATCGTGCACATCGTCTGGTTCCTCTTGATCCTCAGTAGCATCACCGTATTCAAGGGGCACATAGTTGTCATCGTACTTTTCTTCTTCGACGTCTTCCATCATAACCCCTATTTCTCCGTGCCTCGTCGAAACATTATAGTGTGGCATGAAACCCTTGTAAAGCAGGTGGGTGTGAAGGATTTTCCGGTCAGAGTAAGACTTCGTATTCCCACATATAGGGCATGGACAACACATAAAACCATTCTGCTTGTTTGCCTCAGCCACTTCGAGAAATTCATGCACGCCCTTAATGTACTCGGAGGTGTGTCCTGAACCGTACATCCATTGCCGGTTCGTCTGCATGTATTATATATAATTAAGTGTGTCAAAAATCATTACAGAACATCATGAATAGATAATTAAGTAACCAAATTAATAGAAGTTCATCATCACATTAAAACCAAAGTACATACATAGTTCTTATCTAACAACATAAAGCTCTACAGAGCATCTAAATTAATTAAACCATACATTGGAACTATGTAAAACATTTCAATGCGAAAACAAATGCAATCATAATTGCAACCAATGTAACAACTGATCCAATGGCATAATGATACCAAGCCTCGGTATGAATGGCATATTTCTAATCTTTCTAATCTTCAAGCGCATTGCATCCATCTTGATCTTATGATCATCCACGACATCCGCAACATGCAACTCCAATATCATCTTCTCCTCCTCAATTTTTCTAATTTTTTCCTTCAAGAAATTGTTTTCTTCTTCAACAAAATTTAACCTCTTGACAATAGGGTCGGTTGAAATTTCTTGTTCAATAACCTCCTAGATAAATAAAATCTATGTCACGTTGGTCGGCATAATTGTCATAAACAATAGATGAACCAATAGTTATGAAAAGATAATATATACCACATCCGAATCATAGACAGGACGAGGACCGACGGGGGCGGATACCAAAACCATCGCACTATATAAGATACAATAATAAAAGTAAGAAAATTATACAAGTATCTATATAAACATACAAGTAAGAATATATTTTTCCTTTCAGAAAGAAAATAAGAACAAGAGGCTCACCACGGTGGTGCCGGCGACGAGATCGGCGCGGGCGATCGATGGCGGTGAAGACGGGGACGGGACGTGACTGACCGCTAAACCTAGACAAATATTGAGGAAAATGGAGCTTGGAGGTCGAGCTTGGAGAGGAGAAAGGTTAAGTAGTGTGCCTCGGGCATTCCGTCGAACACCTCATGTGCATAGGAGGTGAGCTAGAGCACCACAAAGCTCTCTCCTCGCCAGCCACGAAAAACAGAGCAGTGAGAGTGCTCTGCTCGCGGGCGAGGGGTATATATAGGCAATTAATTGGTCCCGATTTGTGGCTTGAACCGGGACTAAAGGGAAGCCTTTGGTCCCGGTTCAGGCCACCAACCGGTACCAATGGTGGTGGGCCAGGACCAAGGCACATTGGTCCCGGTTCGTCCCTCCAACCGGGACCAAAAGGTCTAGACGAACCGGGACCAATGGCCCACGTGGCCCGGCCGGCCCCCGGGGCTCACGAACCGGGTCCAATGCCCCCATTGGTCCCAATTCTGGATTGAACCGGGACTAATGGGCTGACCTGGCCTGGACCATTGCCCCCTTTTCTACTAGTGATCCTTTTTATCCGGACGAGGGGTTGAGTGGGAACCGGTGGCTCCTAGGAAGCCGCCTGAGTTTGCTAGGCGCTTTCCATTGCGCAGTACTTTTGTACTATGGCTGCCAAGTCAACGAAGTGTGATACGCGACGGCGGTTGATGGTATTGAGGTTTCCCTCGTCCGTGTAATTTTTGCAGAATAATGAGATTGTGTCTTCATCGCGGCAGTCTTTGATCCTGTCTTTGACAAGGAGGAATCTGGCCGAAAAGTGATGGACCGTTTCTTGAGACTGTTGTCTGATGTGGATAAGATCGCGTTTATCTGGGTGGCTGGGTGGATTTAAGTCCGAACCCTGACCGAATCTGGGATCCGGAGTTTGAGAAACTTCCGAGCTTAATAGTTCGGGCTCCGGGATATCAACCAATTTTTCAGACCCAGAGTCCGACTCTTGGTTCGGAGGCCATGGGCTCGCCTTCCCGAGGGTGGGTATCCGGCTCTCTGAGCTCGGAAATCCGAACATAGTTTGTCCTTAATACAGAGGAAGAGTTGTTGTGTTGCTCCTCCACTACCGCTATCTGATGGGTGATCGGTGGAGATTCAATTTCTCTCTGATCAGGTTTAAGCCCAATCCGATCGTAGTCCATAGTGACTCCCAAGGCGGCAATGCGATTCAGGAGTTCGTTTAAAGACGATAATTCCGTCGGATCCATCTGTTTGGAGTATCCCAAACTGATGCGGAGGCGATTTTCGATGATCTGAGAAGTCATCGTCGGCCCGACGGCCGGACGGGCGGCCATAGTGAAGCCGCCCAGCCAGAGGGTTTGGCCTGAGGCCAGGGCTCCTCCGGAGGTGATGTTGTCCTTGATAACAAGGCGAGCCATCAATCCTATCTTCGGCGTCATAGCAGAACTCTCAATGAAAGCACCAATGTCGGTGTCAAAACCGGTGGATGTAGGGTAGGAACTATGCGTCTAAGGTCGATGGTAACAAGAGACGGGGGATACGATGTTTACCCAGGTTCGGACCCTCTTATGGAGGTAATACCCTACGTCCTGCTTGATTGATCTTGATGGATATGTGTATTACAAGAGTTGATCTACCACGAGATCTTAATGGCTAAATCCTAGAAGTCTAGCCTATGAGATTATGATTGTTGTTGTCTCTACGGACTAAACCCTCCGGTTTATATAGACATCGGAGGGGGCTAGGGTTACACAAAGTCGGTTACAAAGAAAGGAATCTACATATCCGAATCGCCAAGCTTGCCTTCCACGCCAAGGAGAGTCCCATCCGGACACGGGAAGAAGTCTTCTATCTTGTATCTTCGTAGCCCAACAGTGCGGCTGTCCGAGGACCCCTTAATCCAGGACTCCCTCAGCTGACGTCGCCGCCAGATTTGGCGCTTTTGGCTGCCGACAACTGCGCCTTGCCATGGATTGGCCGGGTACCGGACCGCATAGCCCCGACAACGCTCCGCGCCGCATGCAGGTATTGATTCCGCCTAGCCGCTCAATTCTCTCCCGTCAGCGGTTCGCCGGCAAAGACACACTAGACCGTCGCCCGGGCTCGGCGCTGGCCCATCGGCTCGTCGGCTCACCGTTGCCAGTCATAAAGTGCGACGATTGCCCGCGGCAGGTGGTGCGCCGACTTTACTACTACACCGAAACATCTCGGATGGGTGTTCTTCAAGTGCAAAAAGGATAGGGTATGTGCTTCTTTTGATTCGGTTATTCACCGGATTCGGCGTAATTTCGGTAGCTCATTGTTTGCTCAAATTTGTGATAAGATAGATGCAAGTTTTGGTATTCGGAAGAACATTACATTGATCGGTTCATAGCACGAAATTTGATAGATGCCTGTGCACTCGTTGCTAGAATAGAGGCTAGATATGAGACTAGATGCGAAGCAATGTCGAATTATTCAGAATCGAAGAAGAAAAAAGTGTGCAAGCTCGAATCCAATAGAGAGAATCAACAATGAAGACATATAGAAGATATTAGTACAACTAGAGGGAGCAGTTATGAAAGGTTGGATATCTTTTAAAGGGTCTGTCTATGTCACATCTAGATGTGAGATAATATCTCACATCTAAATGTGAAGTCATCTCTAGAAACTGCCCTTGTTGACGAACAAAACAAACTGTTTGCTTCCCCCCTCCACGTGGACTTGTTTGTATGTTTTGGCTTGTATTATTTTGTCCCTCCCACCCAGCCCAATTACCCCGCCTCCTGGGCTTCGTTTGTTGGACTTTTTTTGCCTGTTTGTTTGTTTGACAGAAGAAAAGGACTGGCTTTGTTTGTCCGCAGAAAACACTTGCTTGCTTGTAGAATGAGTTTTGGTGGCAGGGAAAATAAAACCTAGACAGGGTTTATGTAGCTTTTGTTCGCACTTTACAAACAGAGGGAGTCACAGTGTATTGACAAAGAATCACAGTGTATTATAGTTGTCTTGTTCTCTCAATCAAAAAAACAGGGCTAAAAACAAAGTATATGTGTAAGAGCAGACAAACACAATTTTGGTGTTGTGCCAATTAATAAGTACAAGTCAGTGCATTATAGGGTAGGAAAATTTGATTTAGTTTCATAAACTGATCAGGCAATAAAGTCTGAAAAAAGGACTGTCTCTTGCATTGTTGAGAAGGGAATTTATATTCAGAATGGGGGAAATGCACGATGAAAAAAATGGCCATAAGCAATCACATTCATAGTTCCATCCATAGAAATCTGCAGACTGGAGTAAATGACAAAGCATACTTAACTTGATAGGAAAAATTGCTTATTCTGTAAATGAACACTCCATTGTCAACTAAAAAAAGAGAGAATTTTATTTGGAAATAACTAAAATCAACTGTGTTAGAATTCCTTAGATAACTATAAATCACAGTGTGTTGTATCATGTTGACAGAAAAATCAAAATAAAAGAAATCAGCTACAACTTTCAGTCTTCACATACAAAACACAAGCATAAACTTTTTGTATATATATTCTAACAAAAGTGTTGATTCATTGTAACATTGCATTTGCAGCAAATGAAGGTATCTATGCAGGCGACTACATTGGTACTCGGGTACAATCCAGCTTAGAAAAATCTGATTGAGGACAGAAATAAAGATAAACTTACTTGTAAGTTTTGATCGTAGCGCACAGCATGTGCGCTCCTAGTACCCTGGAATGGTGTTTGACCCGAGGCTTTCTCAAATGCAAGGCAATGGAGCTAATTTTCCGCAGATGATTCCAACTAACTCATTCGCCTATCCGGTCCATCAGTTTGGAACATCATCAAATCGTCTGGCTGTTGTGAGTAACAATTCAATTCTGGTTGCACCTCGAGGCTCCACTTGCAACTGGCATCAAAACAGAAAACCCGGTTGCGCGTCGAGGGTCCACTTGCAAGTGGCATGAAAACAGAAGACTCGGTTGAAAGTCGAGGGTCCACTTGCAAGTGGCATCAAAAAAAGAAGACCTGGTTGCAAGTCGAGGGTCCACTTGCAAGTGGCACGGAAAACAAAGGAACCCGGTGCTAGTCGAGGGTCCACTTGCAAGTGGCATAAAAAAGAACACCTGGTTGCAAG